CCCCCGCTCACCACAACTAGAGAAAGCCCACGCACAGCAACGAAGACCCAGCACAGCCAAAAAGAAAGAAAGGAAGGAAGAAAGAAAAGAAAGGAAGAAAGAAGTGTGTGGAGTATGATGCCATTGGCATTCCTTCTGCCAGTCTTCTGTGACCTTCGGCCTGGGCTGCTCTGCAAAGCTAAATTATCCTCTGTCCCCCATACGATGCCAGGCACATAGTAGGCACCTGTGGATACTCACTGAATGATTAACTGGCTCAGGGAGTTGTAGTGTATTTAGCAAAAGGAAGTTAAGGGGAGCAGCTATAAAACAAGGAACTTCTAAAAGGCATCTGAAAACTATTTTCCGAGAGCGATGTTTCTCAAAGTCTTTAGCATCTTGATCAGAATCTGGGAAAAATCTAGTCGTGGGACCTAATCATATATAACAAGCAACCTGGTGGTTTTTATGCCCCAAGGCTCATGATTGCCTCTGAAGGCCAGGTAGGCAGGCAACATATGAGTGAAAGTATCTGGATGTCCGACGCAGGTACCTTTGCAATTAAAGGTGGGAGATTCTTCACTTCCACAAATATATTCTCCCCAATTTTTTTCAAAGGCAGAGGCCCCCCCTCCCACCTTGTTTTCCCCTGCAGTACTCGGGCCTCTCACTGTTGTGGCGTCTCCCGTTGCGGAGCACAGGCTCCGGACGCGCAGGCTCAGCGGCCATGGCTCGTGGGCCCAGCCGCTCCGGGGCACGAGCCCGCGTCCCCTGCATTGGCAGGCGGACTCTCAACCACTGCGCCACCAGGGAAGCCCCCCGCTTTTTTTTTTTTTAAAGGAAACATTGTTTTATTTTTATAAATTTATTTATTTATTTTTGGCTGCATTGGGTCTTCGTTGCTGCGTGCGGGCTTTCTCTAGCTGCGGTGAGCGGGAGCTACTCCTCGTTGCGGTGCACGGGCTTCTCACTGCGGTGACTTCTCTTGCGGAGCACGGGCTCTAGGTGCACAGGCTCAGTAGTTGTGGCTTGCAGGCTCAGTAGTTGTGGAGCACGGGCCTAGCCTTCCGTGGCATGTGGGATCTTCCCGGACCAGGGCTCAAATCCGTGTCCCCTGCATTGGCAGGCGGATTCTTAACCATGCTCCACCAGTGATGTGCCACCATCACTCTCGATGGAGCAATGGGTATAGAGACATATTTTCCTTTTTAAAAAAACCACTCAAATATTGGAGGGAAAGGGGAAAAAGGAAAAGAATAAAAGGGAGGAGGAAGTATAATTAGTCAATGAGCCAACCAAGGAGCGGCAGCCCAATAATAAATGACCCTCAGCCTTCCGGTTGGGGGATCACATGAGTTTCCATTGTCACGACAAACTGGAGGCCACATCATCGGGGGCCGCAGTGACTCAACTACATTCAGCTGTAGCCGGGTGGGAATATAGGTCCCGAGTTGCCTGATTGCCCGATTTTTGAAGAGAAACCAGGAATCTGAATTTTTATGTGCAACCTTCTAACTTAAATGTTGGCCCCCAAATTTTACAAAACAATATATGGTCCAAACAGAACATGACAGTGAGCTGAATTTGACCTGAGTGCCTCCTGTTTACAACTCTGAATGATCAGGTTTGAGGTCATTGTCCTAGGATGCGATCATAACTCATCCATTATGGGGATGTTAGGAGCTCACTTCAGTCTCAATCTTCCCCTAGAATGTGAATTCCCTGAAGGCAAGAAGTATGTCTTTGTTGATCACAGTTATATCCTCAGTATCTAGAACTGCCTGGGACAGAGTCGGCGCTCAATTAATACATGAATGAATGAGTCCGTGCCGGCTGCAGTGTGACAGTCACTGCCCTCATCTGGTCACATCCAAGGCAGCAGAGAGGTCCCATGGTCGAGGAAGTTGAGCTCTGGTCATGAACTTCCCTGAGCAGAAACCTCCAATCAGTTCATCCCTGATGGGCTCAGGGCTGGGGCTAAAAGTTAGTCTGAACATTTCCCAGGGCCCTGATACCACAGCTCCATTTTGGGGGTAAAGGAACTTCTCCCCCACCCCCACCCCCGCATTGTCCCATCTCTTTCTTCCGCATGGGTTGTGGCACATCTTCTCCGCGGGTTGGATAGGATTAGGGTCATGCACAGACAGAGCTTGCTGCCTTCTCAAAACACAACCACCCACGTCTCAAATGATTTAGGAAACCACTTTTTAGTTAGAAGCATTGTGTAAAAGATGGTGGAACTTGAGAGAAACACTTAGGAAGGGGTGGGAGAGGCTGGGGTAGGCCACTGTAATTTCTGAGAGTAGTGTTTCCTAAAATGTGTTTTGTGTGTAACTAGTATAATTGAATAGACATTACTTGAAAAAAAAAGATAAATACATTTGGGGAACATGTTAAACAGAGACAGGTTTCTTTCCTGCAGGACTTCTCGGAGGCTTTAATGTACTAATGCACATTATGAAACTCCTCTATCAAAATATAATATGCAGCTCATCCTAGACTAATTAGGCTGTGGAATTTTTTTTTTTTTTTTTTTGGATAGCGTATCTTTTAAGACCGTGTTCCTTGGAAATCACTGCTTTGAAAGCTGTCTTCCTGGCTCTGGAAGGTGAGGTTCTAGGTATCACCGTCCTGTGGCTCTTGAGACTTTTTTCACTGCCCAGAGGCGGCGTCTGCTGTGTTTGCAGAATCTCCAGGTGTGACTGGGAGCTGGCCTCTGGGAGGGCGGTGACCCAGGGGACCGCTATCCACGCTGCGTGGAGACCCGTTTTGCCTGTGGAATCACTCCCTTTCCCATCTTCAGCCTGGCCAGAGGGTGTCCACGGGTAAGTGTAAACTCTGCAGCCTTTTTGAACGGGAACAAGGAACGTCCCCCTCCTGCTTCTAAACCAATACCCCAGTACAGGGCCCAGATAAGGAAACCTCTAGGTTGAAAGTAACATGAAAGACTGCCTCTCACTTAGTTGGGGAGATAGCTGCCTCTAAATTTCTTCCCGCCCTAGGGAATAGAGTGCTGAATTATGGGGTTCAAAGGGCAGGCTACCCTCTGGACACAGCTCCTGGATTCAATGTGGCAGTCAAGACTGCCTCTCCTTCCTGATTCCCGGGACCTTTCACCTGAGGGACAGGGCATGTGAGGGCTGGGGGAGGGGCGGTGGTGGCCCCAGCTTGGATGGAGGTGGGAAAAGCAAGGGGCTTTGAGGGTAGAGTGTGGTGGAAGAGCTCCCCTGCTATGGGGGCAGCCTGCCACGAGAGGGCAGTGCAGAGCCTCCTCCTGTCTTCCCTCCTTCATCTCTTTGTCTTGGAGCAGACACGTCTGCGCTGAGTGTACTGAACTTGGCCGTCTTCCTCCCCAGAGAGGTAAACTGAGGACACCCAGAAAGCCTTCGTCCTTGGTCCTTTCATGGGTATTCAGGTCAACAAGGAGTATGCTGAGGCCTCCAAATTTTCTCTGGTCCAGGGTCCCCCTAACCCCTAATCACAGAAAAAGAGAATCGTGCGCCAGAATTATGGTAGGTAATAAGGTTTACTGAAAACTCGGCCACATTCAGTACTGGTTTGGTGGATACATCAGAAGAGGTTGCATAACATTAATTAGGCAGGTGGAGGGGGCTGGGAGGAGGATGTGTGGGCACATGTGTGCAGGTGTGCCTGTGCTGGGATGCCTGTCCAAAGTGATAAGTGGAAGGGTGTGCATGTGAACAAGAAAAATGAACCAGAACAGGAAATGTATTTTATCCCACTTCACGTTGCAAAAGTCTCACGCCAAAAAAGCTAGACTTTCCTCTACCTATGGCATCAAAAGGGAGTAAAAAATGATTGGATCACCCAGATTATAAATAAGGTTATTTGTTTCTCAAAAATCCCTATTAAAACATTAAATATCAGCTCTTCTGGGGGAAGAAATACATTCATTTCAGGAAGACCTCAGGAAAGCCACCATCCTTTTGCTCCTCCTTAGGCGGCCCCGCGGGGGCCCTTGAGTTGAGCCAGGCAGCCGCTCACATCCTGCCACTGACGGAGATGGCCAACGCACGACTGACAAATGAAGCTGCAAGTCCATTAAATTAACTTCAATGGAAAACACACGTGTGATCAGTCCCGTCATTCACAGCCAGAGGGGTGGGAGGGAACGGGAGGGTGGGGTGCCAACCCCGGGGGGCTGGATGTTGGGGTGGGAGGGTGTGTGTTGGGCAGATGGTGGGAAGACTCCTCCTCCTGGTGGAGCCCCAGTTCCTCCAGTGCCGTGTAAGTGATGGCGTGTAGAACAGTGAGGTGGGGGGTGGGGCACCTCCTCCACACTTTGGATATTGATGGCAAGAGGGATGTAGCACCTTCTCCAACCCCTGGCTTCCCACTGGGCTGGATGCTTCTTTCCAATGTTTCTTCTGCCTCCTCTGAAGGACAGAGTGAAGACGAGAGGATGAAGGCTGGTGGAGCCGGCCTGGCGGCAGGGGGACAGCAGTGAGGGACAGGAAGGGTGGACAGATTCCAAGCTAACCTGGCTCCACCCTCTCTGATGGCCCCTGGAGGGGGTGAAACGTCTGGGGAGCTCCATCCGAGGGCTGGAACATCTGGGATAAGACACCGCTGTCCTGTTGTTACAGGAGCTGAGTTCTGTGACCACTGGGGATAGTTGTGGTCCCCAAAGTCACCTTGATATGGCTCCTAGCCCAGGTTCTGCCATCTCCTTGGGTCCTGGAGCCAACCCAGGTGAAGGGACTCCGCTTAACCTCCTATAAATGAGCCCACCAGCTTACCACTGATTTCCAGGAGAGAGAGAAGGCAGCTCCGGGGGCTCCCATCCCTCTCTCCCAAGTCCACGGCTGCCTGTGCCCAGAGACAGGGCCTTGGAGGGCTGAGAGGAGCTCTAGGAGTCCAGGTCCCACCCTGGTCTGCCGGATGCGACGCCTCAGGCCGTTCCCCTCCTCCAGCCATGGATTATACGTTGAGGCTCCCTCCTGCCCTCTATCTCTCAGAGGAGCTGACAGCCTCCTGGAGGTGGAACGTAGGCCCTCTTTGTCTCTCCCTTTCCTCCTCTGTTCCCTGGCAAAGGCTCACTCTGTGAACAGCACTGATCCACCTTACGGCACAGGGCTTGTAAACAACTCAAGTCCTTCAGTGACGGGGGTTTGGGGGCGTGGGTGCCATCTGTTCATAGGGATTTGGTGAGTCCAGATCTCACTCCTGCCTTTCTGTCCGGGCTGCTCGACTGGCCCCGCCAAACGGAGTCCTCCGCAGCTCTAGGGAAGTGGGGCCAGGGTACTGGTTGAAGCTTGGTGGTTGGGAAGGAACAGGTGTTTCCTCTGCATTTCCTCCAGCTACTGATTTTGGGAAGCCAGGGTCCAACTTGCTCGGTGCTGCCTGCCCGTGTCTCCTCCCCCCCGCCACCCTGAAGCCCTCCTGACGACACTCCTGCTTGGTGATCAGTGCCACCTGGGCTGCCCGGCTACTCCAGGGAGTCCCTGTGCTCCAAGCCCAGGTCGCTGACATTCGTTGTCTGCAGCTCGTCGGCCTCGTCTTCCAGCTCCTCTTCCTCTTCCATCTCATCCTCATCCTCCTCCTCTGTCCCATCCAGTGAGTCGTCGTGTGCGGCCATCATAGCCTGCTGCATGGCCATGGCGGCATTGTCTGAGGACAGGGACTGCAGGTTGTCCAGGCTGACGGAACCTACGTGGGAGAAGAAGGCAAGGGTCAGGCCCAGGAAAGCCAGTGGCCTCCGTGGTGAGAGCTCCTACGCTGGACAGTCCCCTGGCGTGAAGCCTCCCGTCCGTTCCCCTGTCAGCCACTCCCTGCCCCATCCCAAGCAGCAGCGCTCCTGGGTACCACTTCCTGAGCATCTTCTGTGTAAGTATGTCAAACACTGTTGCCTTTCGAAGAATTCTGTAAGTAGGTGTTATCACCCCCATCCTCAAGAGGAGGAAACAGTCTCAGACAGTTGAGTCATTAGCTCAGAATGACACAGTCAGGCATGATATAGCTGGGATTCTCTCCCTGGTTGGTCAAGCTCAAAATCTGTTGATTTCTACTCTACCCCATAAGACTATTGTCCACCACACAGAACTGGTACCCAGTCATATAAATGCACGTATACATGAAGGTAGGCCTGCACACGTGTACACCTCCACTCCACTTCCCACACAGAGCTAGCTTCACATGCTAAGCTATAAAATGTTGTCTGGCTCGTGGCTCATTGAATTATTCATTGTGCACCAGGCGACCGGCAATTAGAAAAGTGTGTACGAAGGGTGTGATGGAGAAGCTGGGAAAACAAAGCTCTTCCTGGCCTCCGTTCACAAGCCAGCTGCCTGCTTCGGTATTTATAGATGGCCCTGGCTCTTGGGGAACTGTGCAGACACTGACTGGTGCTGAGGAACTTCAGGTGGGTGTGGGACTGAGGAGGGGGCATTCTGCTGAGGAGCCACTGACCCAGATGACCACCAGCTGACTCCCACCCGTCTTTGTGAGATTGCTTTTGGCTTGTTAAAATATACGCAAAAAAAAAAAAAAAAATCCCCTTCTTTCAGGCTGACATACGTCGTTTGATGGGGATCGGGTAGGGATACCTATTGTGACAGAGCTGACACGGTCACTCAAGCATGTAGACGATCAGCCCCTGACTCTGTGCATAGCTGCGCCCATAGGAGCTCCAGGAGCCCCTCCCGACCAGCCCCCCGCCCCCGCCTACAGTACCCTCAGCCCCAGCTCTTACCATCGGGGTTTGTCCCCGGGGCACCACCCTGCTGCTGCAGCACCCCTGCAGCAATGGAGTTGGGCCAGAATCTTTGGGTGGGCCGGTGCTGCGACTTGATTTTCTTGGCTTTGGGGGCAGGGTCGGGGTTGCTGGCGTCAAGCATGGGCTGCAGGATGCGCCTCCGGGCATTGATGAACCTGCCCGGGAGTAAGAAGGAGACGGTTAAGTCACCGCCAGGGGGCGGGAGCGTGTGTGCGCAGGTACGTGTGTCTCTGGGTGTGTGCAGGTGTATGCACACGTGCACGTGTGTCTGCGCGCACGTGTGCGTGTGTGCACACGTGTGCATGTGTGTGCAGAGAGCGCTAAGCCGCTTCCAGACTCTGAGAAGCTGGCCCTTGTACGGAACAGACCAGGGTCTGGTCTAGGGTGTGGAAGCACAGCTGTGATGAGCCCTGGGCACCGAGGAGCTCGTGACGTCACCAGGGGGCTTGGTGACCACAAACCAGCATGGGACAAATGCGTGAGAAGGGTCAGGAATCTCTGCTCCAGACCGGTCAGGACTGAACAGAGGAAGGAAGAACCCCCCAGTCAAAGGCACTAACCTCTGACCTGACCTCTCTCCAGAGGGCCAAGGGTCTGCTCCCATCCAGCCAGAACTTGCCCTCTGAGGTTTCTGTGACACCTCAGGCGGCCACAGAGGAGGGGGCACGGGAGCCCTGTGGGGTGAGAACTGCCAGCTCCTCCCTATTCTTCCTGCTCCCAGCCCTGCAGAGTGTTTCAGCCTGAGCTCTTTTTTACATGGGTGGTGAGTAGACCAGATGACCACCGGTGGCCTCGGGTCGTGGGATGCAGGCACCCCTGTGTGTCCATAGTGCAGGTGGGGCTGGGTTTTCTGCAAGAAGGCAAGAAGCTCCCAGTGATGTTCCTGACACAGTTTCCCAGGAGAGGGCGCTGAGAAGCTGCAGATGAAGCTATAGGTGTTGATTCCGGATATCTGCTTCCAGCCCACATGCGATGGCTGGCATGGTCGCCAGGTTGAGACTGAGGCCAGGCTGGGCACTCTAGCCTCTTTCCCCTGCTATGCATTCCCCTGCCCAGCAAGTGGCCCCTGGGTCTAAGAGCCTCTGGGCAGGCGATACTAACTCACCAGTTATTCACTTGCAGGAGGGTGAGGTTTGTCTGGGCCGCGATCTGCCTCTTCTCATCCTCCGTGGGGTAGGGGTGCTGAAATGAGAGGTGAAGGGCTAGTGAGGGGTGGGCACGTGGTGGCCTGGTCCCCCTAGAGACCATGCCCACAACACAGGCAGCATCGTGGGCCAGGTAGCCCCAGGGGTTTGGAAGCCCAAAAAGGGGAAAGTGTAATGTTCCCCAGAAAGAATGGCCAAGGGCTTGGAGGGAGGCTGCTCTGTGCCTGAGGAGGGCTACCTGCCCTGAGCCCAGCCCCCCATGGTGGAGGACCAAGTGGTTTCCCAAGGGTCGGTACAGTTCAATACTGATCGCTTCCAAAGCAGTGTCACATTCTCACTTGGTCCACCCCCAAACAGGCAGGTCAGGCATTATCAATATTAGGATTGACAATGGCCTCAAAAGCCCATAGGACTCTCAGAAGGCGGTAAACGGGTGAACGAATCCATTTAACTTAAAGTAACTGACATGTACTGAATATCTACTACGTGTGTAGATTCATGCAGGCATACTAGGAGACAGAAGATAAATATAATGATAACTACGACTTGTGTAATACTTTGTAGCCTATGAAATGCTTTCATGCACTTAATTTCACTTAATAAAGCATATCGGTAAAACTTGGTAAGAGGCAGGTTAGGCGAAGAAACTGAAGGACTATCTCCACCGTCCCCCAGATGGTGGCATCAGCTCGGAACTCAGTTCTGACGTTGGTCCGGGCTCCCCCCATCACTTCATGCTGCCACTTTGTGAGACGGAGTCAGTGTCTTTGTGGGGGTGAGTGAGGACGTGGGGCAGGGCCTTCAGTCCTGCACTGATTACACGTTTGTCTCTCTCTCAGGTCATGCTTCATGAGGGCAGAGACCAGCTCTTATTAATGTATCCCCAGCACCCACCACATGCACCTGAAGTACAAATGGCTGCCGAGCAAAAGAAAGCAGAAACAAGGCGGTAGGTGCTGGGGTTTGGATAACAAGCACGGGAGAAGCTTAGGAGAAGTGGGTGTTGGCCAAAGCGCTGAGGAGGCTGAATAGGTCACATTAAAGACTGGGAAAGTTTGGGGTGGCAGAGGGTTAGGGGACCTTCTGGATCCCACTGGGTGGTGAGCCCCATGATGTCTGGGTCTATGTGTCTGTGTGTCTTTCCCAGGCTTCTGTGTAACACCTGGCACCCAGCAGGCTTGCAATATAGGTGTGATGAGCGTCTGAACGGGTCAGAGCCTTGCCCTGGCAGCTAGGGGAGGTTCGGGAGCTCTCAGGGTAGAGGGCCAAGCTGTCCTCAGGTCGGAATCATCCCCTGATTGAGGTGGTATGAGATAGTGGTGCTTGGGCTTTCCAAAGTCCTGAAGACCGGGGCTCAGATTCTGGCTCTGTCATGAAGAGCTGTGAGATCTCAGGCACATCACTTAACCCCACATCATAAATTCATCTAATGATGAAAAGAAATTATACTTGTAAAGTGCTCAATAAGAGATCGCTCTTCATACTGTCGTTGGACAATGTTGGCAAGGTGCTTAAAGCTCTCTAAGGGATGATCAACAACCTCCATAGAACTCTCATTATCAGTGACAAAGGAAAGGAACCTCTTCGGTGTCCTCAATGTCCCTCGACTGAAGCAATCAGGGTCATGTGTTGTTTTAATTCACACCTCTGACCCTGACCACAACACCAGGGCAGCCGGGACTCGTGATCCATATAATATTAAGATTCTAACAAGAAGGAAAGCACGTCGGTGTCATAGGAGCCAATTTCATCTAACTGGGAAGGAGCCCAGGGAGATGGGGAGGAGACTGTAGCCTCCCAGGGGCTGCGTGCATCTGACACCCTCCGGGGAGGGGTGGTGGCCGAGCCCTCCTCCCCCGCCCCGTGGAGCTCCAAGCTCAGCGGCTCTGATAGGAGCCGAGCAGCCTCCCTGTCATCCATGGCAACCGGTCTGAGAATACAGCAAAACGATAGTAACCTTTTGGCCTTCCCGGGCCCCACTAGGCCCTTCATACCTCCATGCCTTTGCACATGCTGTTCCCTCTGCTGGAAAGCTCTTTCTCCCACTTTTCCACTGCGTACGTTTCTGAGCTTCTGCAAAGACCTTTCACAGGTCAAGTCCTCTGAGAGGCCTTTCCCCCCAGCTCCCCCGGGCAAAGTTAGTCACTGCTGCACTTGAATAATTGCCTTTAGCCCGCTATATGGTGATAGATATCTCCCCCGATCCTGGGAGTTGCTCTCAGGCAGGGACCCAGTCTTATGAGACATTGCATCTCCAGTGTCCAGACCAGTAACAGGCAGAGTGGATATTCAGTGTTCGTGTATGAAACAGATGAGTGAACCAGCACAAGAAGGAGATGGCTGACTTGTTCCCTGAGCCTTGCCGACTGTGCCGGTTCATCAACCACAAATGCTGGGAAGCTGCTACCTCGGAGGTGCCCGCAAGTGAACGATACCCGGCCATAGAGCTCACAGCTTAGAGGGAAAGGCTACAGGCAAAGGAAAAAGCCTCTATTAAAAGGTAGTGTGTCTTCAGCACTGCAGTCTGTAAACTGTTTTAGTAAAGAGCTCAGATTCTGGAGCCAAAAAAAAAAAAAAAGAAAAAGTAGTGTGTAAGTACCCATCGGGTGGTAAGAGAAGTCAGGGGAGCCTTCCCTAGGGAGGAGGGACTTCAACTGGATTTTGAAGAATGGCCAAGCCATCCCAGTAAAGGAGGACCTGGGCCTTCCAGACAGGGGCTTTGCACTGGGACTTATAGTCAAGTCAGTCAGATGCAAATCTCGTCCATCATTAAAAACCTCCAGAGGAGGAAATGCTTCAGCCTCACCCAGATAATATTTGCTGTTGTCTCTAAGGAGGCTTCGGGTGCGGGCCGCCATTCTGAGTGGATGTCATCAATCCACAGATTAACGTGCTCCCAATTAATGGAGAGGGAGGAGGGGCAGGGTCCCTGAAACTGGCTGGTTGTTCTCTTATGGTAGGGATACAAAGCCCTTATCCTCCTGGGGGGCAAGTCCCACCACCCATCGCTCCCGGGACCAGTGTCTCATGAGGCATGCGGTGGAGGCCATGGGGTGAGTGGCAGCATCTGGCATGGCCTTGGGGACAGGTGTGTCACCAGAACATTCCTGGCACCACGTCTGAGTGCTCATGGGAGCAGTCCAGCTCGTCCATGCCTCCAGCTTGTCTACGCCTCACACCAGATGATTCCTGAGGACAGAGTCAAAATAGTCCTGGCCCCTGGACAGCCCTCGATTTGGTCAGTGCTACTTTTAGCACAATCGGAAGGGCTCGAGGCCAGGGACGGGGAGAGGAATCCAGCGAGATGGTGGTGAGCCATCAGGCTGCGGCAGCTGCTCTCTGATCACAATTTGGAGGAGCTCCTCTGGAGTCAGGAGGGAAGGGCACAGACAGCAGCCCTCTAGAAGAGATAGAGGATGGACCAGAAAATTACAGCTCCTTTTCAGGGCCAGCAGGGAGCCTCAGGTGGCTGGGGGCAGTGCTGCCTGGTGGTTAAGAGCATGGCCTTTGCAGAGGTCAGGTCCTGCACCCACCACTTAACCAGCCGTGTGACCTTGGCAATTTATTGTTTGATGTATGCCATCCTCAGTTTCCTGGGCTTAAAATAGAAATAAGAAGATGGTGACTACTCCTTGGACTTCGGGCATGATTGAATGAATGATGCAGGCAAAGCATGTGTGTGCTGCACTGACTCACTCTGCACCACATGGTGAAGCCTCCCAGACACGGTATCGTTGAATATTTAGTCTCTGGGGAAGGGAACTGCAGGATTTATACTGAGTAGGCGTTTCACAGCACCACAGTTGGCATCGGGAAGCTCCTCTGACGTCTAACCAAACTCTGTCCCTGACACCTCCCTCTTGGCCCTGGAACTCAAGTCTCTTCTGGGCTAAACTGGAGCTGAAGGCATCTCTCAGTTTGAACTGTGGGTTCCCCCTAGGGTCCCGGGTCTGAAAGCAGCTCAGCCAGGCTGGCCCATGGGCCCCTGGCCACGTCTTTCACTCAAAGCCCACCCAAGATGGTGCACCCACCTCCCAGCCCAGGAAGAGCCGCAGGAGGCCGGCCACGTCCCGGAGGGACACAGCGCGTGGGAAGCAGCAGCCTGCAGGTGTGAGTCGGAGCTGCCGCTGGAGCAGGGGCCCGCTGGAGCTGTGGCTTTTCCACTTTCCTGCACTGGGGCAACCACCCCCTCCTTCCCTTCTCGCTCCTGACCAACTGTGGGCACGTGATCTGCTGCGGCCACAGCTTGATAGCGTGGCCGCCGCTCTAGAAGGGCCAGAGACCAGCCGGAGGGAGGCTGCCAGGATGGTGAGGGGCCCTGAAACAACCACATTTCATCACATCGAAGATGCGGGGCACACCCTGACTTCAGAGATGCTAGAGCAGTTTGGGATGGAGAGGGGCACACAAGGCACCCAAGGACCCTCCCTTTCCTGCTGTAGCTGCCCTTGCTTATATGTCCCACTCTTCCATTTCTCTCTCTTTTCAACTCCCCTCCCCACTTACAGTTGTGCACACACAGAAAAGCACAAAGAACTGAAATGCATAGCTTGGTGTAGTATCACAGACACCCACGTGACCACCCGCCAGGTCAAAAAATAGAATTCTACCAGCACCCCAGCAGCCCCTTTTCTGCCCCCTCCCAATCACATGCCTCCAAAGATATCCTCCCCAAGGATAACCTGATGTTTATGGTAATTACTTTTTTTGCTTTTCCTTATAGTTTTACTATCTATGTTACATCCTTAACCATTATGGTTTAGTTTTGCCTGGTTTGGGACTCTATATAAATGGAATCATATAGCATGTAGTATTTCACTCCACAGCATGGTGTGAGATCCACTTATGGCTGTTCTATGTAACAATCACATCATGTTCACTGCCGTATAGTTTCTCATTGTAAAAATCTACTGCCTTCTCGTTCTTCACCCTCTCCCGCAATTACAAAACCACTCTCCCTCCCTCTGGCTCCATCTTCAATCCATCCTTCTCATGGCAGCAAGATTGGTCCTTCTTAACCTGCTCCCAACCCCTTAG